GTCTATAGTTACCCGGGTCCTCCTTCTTGCCCTTCTTGTAGACTGGAATGACATTTGCTGTTCTCTAGTCCTCAGGCACTTCTCCTGTTGCCCACAACTTACCAAAGATGATGGAGAGTGGAGGAATGACCTCTGCCAGCTCCCTCAGCACCCATGGGTGTATTCCATCCGGACCCATTGATTTATGGATGTCCAGATTGCTTAACTGATCCCTAACCCAATCCTCATCAACCAAAGCTAACTCCTCCTTTATCCTGACTCCTTCTGGGGCTGTAGGGATCTGGGGCTCCTGGGAGGAGTCTGCAGCAGTAAAGAATGAGGCAAAGAAGGCAGCAGAACTACTGGCAGTGAAATGGTAAATCTGTTTGGGTTGCTGATCTGTGGAAAGACATTGCAGATCAGATAGAGAAACTGGTGGTAGAAGTGCTTCATGTAGATGCACAACACAACCAATGAGCAGATAAGGCTGCTCAAGTGTTCCAAATAGACTTAGACTGGAAACACAAGGGTGAGCTCTTTCTGGCTTGATGGGCCCATAACACTTCAGGTCATCAGGGCAGAGATGCACATACAAATGGGCTCGTGACTGAGGGGTGGACTTAACCATGGACACTATTGAGCAAGTGATCCATGACTGTGAGACGTGAGCTGCAATTAAGCAGGTGAAACGGTTGGAACCTTTGTGGTATGAGGGGAGGTGGTCACAGTACAGGTGTGGGGAGGCCTGGCAAATTGACTACATCACACTGCCTCAGAGCCACCAGGGTAAGTGCTGTGTGCTTAACAATGCTGGAAACAAGCACAGGATGGTTGGAAACATATCCTGTGCCTTATGCCACAGCCCAGAATACTATCCTGGGCCTTGAGAAGCAAATCTTATGGAGACATGGTAGTCCAGAGAGAATTGAGTCAGACAATTGGGTCTCATTTAAAAAACAGTTTTGTGACTAATTGGGCTAAAGAGCATGGTATTGTGTGGATCTACCATATCCTGTACTACGCACAAGCCTCGGGGAAAATTGAAATTACAATGGATTGTTGAAAGCTACCATGAAGGCAATGGGTGCTGGAGCTTTCAAAAACTGGGACAAACATTTAGGTGAGGCCACCTGGTTAGTTAACATCAGGGGATCCATCAATCAGGCTGGTCCTGCTCAGTCTTTTACATACTGCAGATGGGGATAAAGTCCCTCTGGTATGTGAAAGAAACCTGCTGGGTAAAAGTGTCTGGGTTTATCCTGCTTCAGGCACCTGTCCGGGGTGTTGCTTTTGCTCAGGAACCTGGACATACCTGCTGTGTGATGGTGGAGGATGGTGAAGTACAATGTGTACCTCAAGGTAATCTGACTCTGGGGAAGAATCCTTAATTTGACAGCTGGTAAAATATAGAGCCTGTATGTAATATACAGTATGGAATAAAGGGTGGAATGTCCTGGTTTGAGCCAGGATTAAGCCAATTTTCCTTTTACAGATTTTTTTTTCTTCAGCAAGCTTTCTTTTACCTAGTCACAGTGTGTTCTAACTAAGGCTGATAAGAATGGACTGGTTTTGTAACTGCTCGGTCTTCAAGGTCGCACCTTCTCTCTGCTGGCTCAGACACTATGGGGAGATCTATGACCCCCCCATAGGAGGCTGAATTAGACAGACAGCAAAATTGGCCAGAGACCAATTCCATATATCTACATATGCTCAGAGGAAGGTCAGAGATCATAGAAAACTTCCTTCTTGATTCTTCTTCCCTTCTCCTCCATCCATGGCCGGTGTCCGGGGAGGACTCCGTCCATCCATCACCATTGACCTCCAGGCTCCAGCTCTCCTGACCCTCATCACTCTCTGCTTTCTCCAGCAGCAATCTGGGGTTTTTCAGGACTGTTTGCAGCTAAGGAGTGGGAGTGGGAGTTGCTGGTGGTGCGGGGAGATGAGAGGCTTTTGCACATACCTGAACATATTGGTATATAATTGTATACATTTTCTTTTATCATTAGTTTTTAATGAAAGCTGTGGAGTTTAGTTTTCAATCCAGCAAAGTCTCTCTCTTTTTCCCTTCTCTCCTTCCCTACCTGGGTAGGAGGGGGAGTGGATCAAGAGCATTGTTGTCAGACCTGAGTTAAACGGTGACACAGGGCTTTTACCCACCAATGCTTTTGAGCTTGTATCAAAATTTGTACACTGGGCTTTAGGTATTTTCAGGTGCAGAAAAACTATTAAACTAAACTGCTTCATCAGATAAAGTCCAAAGATCAAATGTAGAACTTTAGAAAACCATTTTTGGGAGCAACAATAGGTAAATTCAGGGCAATCTCTTCAAGATACTTATGTACTCAGAGAGGCCCAAGCAATACGAACTTCAATTATCCAGTTTAGGAAGAAATACCCAAGTATCTATGGACACAAAAAGGAAGCACTGAGCTGCACAAAACTGCCCTCAAAATGTGTGGGATATGTTGTTTTGTGCATTTGCTTGAAACCCCAGTCAAAAGTAAGAAACAGTACCAAGTTTAATGATGGTTTCCCAGTGGGCTTTGATAACATTTTCAAAAAGCATTAGGCAAAAAGCTAATGGATATAATGTGAAAATAGCAAAAAACACACTCCAAACAACTTTTGTTGCAAGAAACATAAAGCACACAACCACCTGTACAGCCACATTACTACTAGCTGTAGATAGAGAGAGAACATGGCACCACGTTCAGTTGTGCAAACCTTGAACCTACATGATCTAAAATAAATCATACATTATCTGCACCACACAAAGTCACTCAGAAATTAGGATATTAGCATGGATAAGCATGGATTAGCATGTTCAATAAGAAATAAAATTAATTACTGGGCACAAATACTAATGTTCACATTAGAACTGTGCAAGTTATGGCATTACTCCCTCTTACTATGCTGAGCCAAACACATTGTATTTACAACATATACGGTGTTTTAATGTAAAATATATTAAGTTAATGTTTGTGAAGTTAATATAGTAATAACTGTTTAGAATTAAGTGCAGGGTGTACTAGAAAGTGTGAGATTGTGTGTTTACATACTGTTTTTGGTGTTCCACTCACAGGTTTCGTTTGGCTTCCAGAAGATGTTCCACTCACTGGCACTGTTTGGCTTCTAGAAGAACAAATAAAGGTGATCAGAACTTCAAATAAAGCACTTGCACCCAACCTAAAGCACTGAAAACAGAGTAGACAACCTGAACATCAAAACATTGTGTTCTGATAGTCTAGCTACTGTGGAGCTATTAGTATACATAAACTGTGTATATCTAAGCTCTTGGTACATTCAGTGCAACTAAAAGAAACCCAAAAATCACATTTCTACTTGGTCACAGATTATACTAAGAACACAACAGGGCAAGAGGAAGGCCTCAGGTATTTTTGTTGTATCTGCACACTACCCATCATGAATTAGATATGCAATCATTGACACAGTTAACAGACAATCCATTCCTCATACCAAGTGTCCCACAAGCAGAGGCCATCCATGGGCTGCTGTGGAATTCATGTACAAACAAAAAGGCTTGTGCTCCCTGCCACTGCTAGAACACCACCAGGCTCAAAACTGCTGCCACGCACCTCCTAAGTGAGTACAGGAAAATAGAGTAGGTAACCACCCAGTGTCTTCTTCATACATTTACCTTGAAGAACACAGTACAAGGAGAGCATTTTTTAAGGCCTCTCCCCCATTACAGCATCCATTCATCATTCCCAAGCATTAACCACTCTCCCAGTTGGTGTCTGCAATATTTCCAGCTGCAGGAATACAAAGCAGATTTACCTGCTTAATTTTCAACACTACAACAGCAGTGCCATTCTTTCCTAATCCCCACATCCAGGTATTTATTAGATCCAATGATCTAATAACAGGCCAGCAGCATCTGGCATCTCATTTCAGGGCAGCATTACAATACCAGGACAGGAGCCAACCCCTGGAGACAGAGGATGCATTGACCGGACAGCATGAATCATCCATATTTACATCAACTCCCCAAACAAGGCTATGTTTGTAAGCACAACCCTGTGACATCCACAATTACTAGGCAGTGCTGGAAAGCACTGTGACAGCTGCTGCAGTCACAGCCCCCCAGCTGCCAGGCAGAGCCACAGCAACTCAGGGTGTTTTGCTTGCAAACACTTCCTGGGTGCAAGGATGCTGCTGCACTGTTTGTTCAAGACAGATGGTTATTCACCAGCCTGCTTCATTTATTGAGAACCAACATCAGAAAGACCTGGCAAAACCACTAGCCACTTCTGCTGATTGTGGTGGAGAGGTATATCTTTAAGAAGGCTGGAAAACGTGACCATTCCAACAACGCTAATGGAGCTGATTGAGAACTGGATTATATGAACACATAAATGACAGTGATAATCCTGCAGTCAGGATTGCACTTGCATAGCTGCCATTTTAATCAACACACGCCATTCCATGTCCTTCATTAATCTTATTAATATAGAATTAAATCCTGCAGCACAGATACTGCTGGGGGGAAAAACAGACTTAGAAAGGCAACTAGTAACACTTGGTAACATGCTAAATTGCTGCTGACTTTCAAGGTAGGAAAGGATGAACTGTTCCCTCCTCACGCTCACACACAGATTGCAATACACTTCAGCATACTCTTCTTCTCCTGACTGAAACACTGTCCTTAGGAAATTCACAGGAACCCCTTATGAACGGAACTTTGGTTCCCAGCTGGCAACCCTTGGTCTTTCCCCTATGGCCAGTAATCCCCAGATTTGGGGCATAATAACACCTGCCATATCCCAGCCCTCTCCCCCAAATGCAAGAAATAGTAAAACACCAAGAATCAGACTGTTCTGAGATGGGAACAATTTACACATTTACACTGCAAGGCCTATCGGCCTGTGCTAGAAAAGCAATAAATCAAATACATAGAAGGAATCTCTCCACATAGAGGAAACAGGATCTACAGCTTTGCTCACAGAAAAATCCACCCCAAGAACAAACCAAATCAATTCAACCATAGTTGGAGCTTGAACCCCATGTCCCAGCAGGCCAATGTAAGTCCCCTGTGGGACAGACCCATTACAACCTACCCCATGACAACAAACATTAACAGCAGCTTTAACAGGAAAGATACAATCTGAATGTCTCTGTAAACTAGTGTCAGTAACAACAGGTAACACATGGAAACCCCCAGTGAAGATGACAATGCTGTATGGATACTTACATGGCATATGGTTTGTTGGCAGACAGAACTCCTCTAGGAGGGATTCTTCTAACAATTACTGATGAGTTCTTTGGGATTAGGGCATTATCATCTGTGTATTCTGAAAACAACATATATACAGACAAAAACATCATTCATTTCAAGAGAGTATGTGAATATGCAATAGTAATGCACTTCAGAGAACCTGCTAACAGTGATCAAAGCAAAATTCTGTACGTAACATCACACTTGTATCGAGAAATTACTTAGCTGAAACTGATTCCTCATATTTCCCCTTGGGAACCAAAGAACAAACTTCCTTTGGGCTTAGAGGATCTCCACATTGTAGGAGAAAGGACTAGTAATGATGAAAACAGAAGTTTTTACAGAAGTCATACACTGAAACCAACCCCCACAGCTCTTCTCAAAAGGAAAATCTCATCCTCGCACAGCCACCTGCCAAGAAAGGCTTGCGCTGGGATGTCTTGATGGAGAATTACAACTCAAACAGTACTGAGGCCCAAGGAAACTACTGGAAGATCAGACCAGCTGCAGTTCTAGAAGCCCAAAGCAGCTCCTTCTACC